CTGGAGAGTTGTGTTGCAGGTTTCCTCGCGGGTCCAGCCCCTGAGGGACTGCAGGGAGCGAGGGTTCTGGCTGAGGTGGGGGTGAGTGGCACAGAGTCAGCACACAGACTCAGGGGGTTGGGTGAGAGCAGACACTAGGGGAGGTGCTGCAGACTCGTTTATTGCTGGGAAGTGCAAGCCTTATATACCTCTCCCCCTGCCCCCAGTGTCCCATAAGTTGGTGTGTCACTTCCTGATAGATCCCCTCATCTGGGCAGGATCCCCTCATCCGGGCAGATTGTAGGTTGGCTATTTTGCACAAGCGAGGGCTGCACTCTCAAAGCGGAAGCTGTGTTCTCTAGTGCAGCCTGTGCTTAGGCCTGGCACTTCCTCTCCTACATATCCATCCCTTTTTATTATAGAAAGGTCAGTGGTAGCCAAGGTTCTTTGCCTCGACGTAGTTGACCCCACCTCAGAGGACACCCAGCTTGATGGACTGTGCCTGTCTTAGGTTGTCCTGACCATCAGGATCTTATCTGTCATTGACTACCATTCCTCGAAGGGTGTGACCTCTGGCATGACCTTGTGAGGGAAGAGGAGGGCAAGAAATTACACAGCCACTTCTGGGATGTCAGCAAGCCAGACCTGCTGGACCTCAGAGAGGTTTTGTAGAGACAAGGTTTCTCCAGGCTGCCAGGGAGGAAGCCTGCAGGCGTCCAGCATAATCCGTAAAGGGGAGCGTATCTCCAGGAGTGAGCAGGAGGCAGTGTAAGAGCACTGACTGCTCTTGCAGAGGACCCAGGTTCAATTCCCAGCACCCACATGGCAGCTACGAACCACCCTTAACTCCAGTTCCAGGGGAATCCAAAGCCCTTTTCTGACCTCTGCGTCATTGCACAACATGGGTGCACTCACATACGTGCAGGCAATACACTCGTACACATAAAATAAAAATAACAATAAAATACTTTTTTTAAAAAGGACCAGCTCTTAGATTCATTGATTCTTTGTATTGTTTTCTTTGCTTCTATTTCATTAATTTCTGCTCTGATTTTTGTTATTTCTTCTCTTCTTCTGGGTTTGGGTTTCATTTGTTCTTGCTTTTCCAGAGTTTTGAGTTGCAAAGTTAAGTAATTTATTTGTGGTCTTTCTGATTTTTTAATGTAGGCACCTGGAGCTATAAACATCCCTCTTAGGACTGCTTTTAAAGTGTCTCAGAGGTTTTGTTGCTCTGTACTGTCCTTCCCATTGAATTCCAGGAATTCTTTTATTTCCTTCTTAATTTCTCCTTTGACGCATTCATTATTCAGGAGTGTGTTGTTTAATCTCCATGAGTTTGTATACTTACTAGGGCTTCTTCCAGTGTTGATTTTAAGCTTTATTGCATTGCGGTCTGATAGAATGCATGGAATTATTTCAATCTTTGTATGTTTTGAGGTTTGTTTTGTGCCCCAGTATATGGTCAATTTTGGAGAAGATTCCATGGGGTGCTGAGTAGAAAGAATGTCCTGTGGTGCTTGGGTGGAATACTCGGTAGAT